TTTTTTTTAATTCCCCACAGCACATCATCTCTACGATCAATGGCGGCTTGTTTTGATGACTTAGTAACTGACAAGATAAGTGAAGAGCATAGGTCATCCCGTTTGGGAATAAGCCCCGCACTCGACTCCCACTGATAATCGTAGTACCCTTTTGGGTGCATATGTGGCCTACACAATGACTTGAGTGGCCAGCCGATTTACAAGTCAGTGCTTTTATAGTCCCAGACGAGTCTGCTACCAATAAACCTACCCCGGAGCGATGGAAGGCTTGGTTGGTTCAGGCAGCTAAGCATCCAGGATTCGAACTAATGGTCATGCATGTGTGATAGTGCGCCACTTGCCACTACATTACCATCGCCTAAGTAAATAATTCAGTGTATAAATAAACGAGTTACCAAATATGTACATAGTGGGCAGTAGGCAATAAATAATCATGTAAAAGAAGAAAGGCGTAGAACTGAATCGCTATCTCTGAATGCGATCTCAACACTGAAACATCGCTTTCACTGTCAGAACATCATAGGTTTGTGGTTGTGGATATGTAAAGTGCCTTACACCGTGTTGTTTGTATGTACGATATTATTGATCGAATAGAATGTTTACACAAACATATGTATAAAAATGCCAAGCAAATAAAGATCAAACATAGCATAATTTAGTTTAAAACTCAGTAAAAAAAAGAACGTGACAAAAAGTATACAATTGGCAGCGAGAAAAAACTCAATTTATCACTGGAATATGCTTTTATTTTGAAGGAATTTTTCTCGTCGAGCTTTTTTCTCTTCTTCAAGTCGTTTACGTTCTTCTTGTTCTTCTTTCATTTCTTGTTCGAATCGTGATAGCTTTGTTTGTTCTTCTATCTACAAACAGGAGACTTTATGAAAAATTGGGAAAAAATCAGTCCAGTTGAACTAATGAAATAAGACCACCTCGATTTTCTATTCAAAAAAATAAGGTAATTAAGTGGTCAGCATTTTTCGAGCTACAGCGTAGATGAACCTTGAGCTCTACTGTGCCTTCGATGGAATCATCCCTTTCGGCAATACCGATTGATTGGAACAGACTCTGGTCGGGAATAGAAACCTACGCAAGTGTTGCGCTGGTCCCACAAATCTGACCCATTCTTCATACTATGGGGCACCTTCATACGGTACTACGATACTAGGAGGATCTCAGATGCCGAAGTGATTCCAGGGAATGGGAATGGGGTCGGCCTATGTCACAAGTTCTAATCCTCACTCTCAATTTCACATGAATTCTACGAATCCGAATCTTGAACTTCAGTATAGAGCCGCTGTCGGGAAGGCTACTTCAAGTGTTGGGCATTTTGGAGGGGTTCGGTTCTCATGCAGTAGTATTGGCTAAGCCAGATTTCTCATCGATTTTATAGTTGCTTGAACCATTCCATGTTGATACGCAGTGTATGCGAAACTATTTCAAGAGCTTTGATGCATTTATACGCAGCGCGGGACGCACCCTTGCGCAACGCGGCTGCCCGGTAAATCAATAAAGCTCCTTCTCCTAGCCATTTTGAGGAATTGCACGTGAATGGACGGCTATCGAAAAAGCTTGAAGCGGTATAAGTTTCACACTGGCCAAAATCGCGAATCCCGTCAAACCACTGTTAAGCAAAATGGTCAAGAAGTGAAGATAAAAAATGGTTTTTTGTGCCGAGATAATCGCAGCACAGCAGCTCTAATGCTAACGCTCCTGGGTGGACATGAATACCCATTTGTTTGGTTACACTTTTATTTTAGGAGCGAAAGTCCATTGCCTGACAGCCGATATGAACAGAAATGTTTGCTATGACTGACCTTTGCTTGGAAAAAACTGGCTGCACCAAGTACACCTTCTTTGGAGACATCTACACTATCGGCGAGCATTTGGAAAACCTGAAAAACAACCAGCTTGAATTTTTTTTCAAAATTTCCTTCTCTGAAAAAGTTATGGGTCATTTAGATTTTAATAGCTAGCCCAGAGTAAGTGCTCGTTGGCAGAAACATACATTTTAATATTGCCTTCTCATTTTGAAAACGTAATGTAAGCGATAAGGTCGCATCATGAACTATGGATTGCGCCATGCCTCCGGCACACATTTTAATCGGGACTGACTCACTAGTAAACGTAGTAAGTACATTGTTTTAATTGGGCAACAAAAAAAAAACAACCAAGTATAGAATCATCTGATACTTAAATGCTGTTGATTTACCGATGTGTTCAGAAATAAATTGTCTGGAAGGAACTAAGTTCTGCCCCTGAGTTAACATTTGCGAGAAAACGAAAAAATTGATATTGAGAGAGTCTAGCTTACTTGTGAGCATCCCAATTGATTTTGAGCAGCGAGTCGGAAAATCAGGAAGAATTCCCGCAGTGAAATTTTCCCATCTTTGTCCTCATCAACCTGAAAAAGGGGCTTTTTGAACACGTGCTTCAGAGCAGCAAAAAACGTATAACTTCCAAGTTCGCAACTGGCTCATACTAAACAGCAGGTACCTGTCGGATAATCTCCTTCAAAGCGATATGGGTTTGAGCTTCGCCGAGCTTCTCCATCATACGTTTCAATTCGTCAAAGTCAATGAAACCATCAGCATCCTCGTCATATCTGAAAAGAGAACGATAACTCGAGTATCGAGTTTTTGACAATAATCATCCTGTTGAGTGAGGGAGGAGGTGGTGTAGTGGCAAGAGCGCACTATATCACACGCACGGTCAGGGGCTCGAATCCCGGATCGATGCCC